TTATAATTTTGAAAATTCCCCCCCCCCCCCCCCCCCCCCCGTATCCCCGCCCATCCCTACCGCCGCTCTCCCACCTGTTCGAAAGGCCTCGGCGCGATGATGTGGCTCGCGGCTGACCAGGACAAGAACAACTACCCCAAGAGGGTTGGCATCTTGCTCCTCTTTGGCCTCCTGAAGGTCCTGTTGCTTTTTCATTTGTTCTCCCTCGTTTGGTAGAGCTTGTGTAATCCCTCGTGTGGTATAGTAGCTTGTTCGAATCGGTTCACACCTATGTGTGCTTGAAGTCGTTGGCTATAATGTGAAGTTATCGCCAATACTTGCAACGACGATAGTCGCAACTGGAAGTTGTTCCGAGGGATGTGGTTCAGCACAGCACACGTGTCGGGTAGTGTATCACTTAAACGGCCTTGCAAAGCACTGCCGGGCTTGGGCGGCAGCATCGGCAACGCTGGTGTAATCGACGGCATCAGCATCATCGCTAGCACTAGCGCAAGCACAAGCTCAAGCGCAAGGAAGAAGCGATCAAAGTGTGCGTGTACTGCTTACCGCTTACGTAGCCTCGATGCAATCGCGACTTCACGTAACCTTGTGGAGAATAATGTTAATTGTTTCCCCGGTTGACTTCGTGCGATGCAAAACGAGTACCCCGCTCTCGTGCTCACTCAAGAGGCCTACCGTAGATTTTCAGCCCCTAGCTTTCTGGTTCCTGTTTTTTTTTTTTTGGCTCCAGGGCTTGTCGCTGGGGCCGCTGATCGACATGGTTCTGCACGTGGACCCGTCGATTCTGGTTACCTCTCTGCTGGCCACCACGACCGTGTTTGTGTGCTTCGCGGGCACGGCCCTATTCGCCAAGCGGCGGAGCTACCTCTACCTCGGCGGCTTGCTTTCCAGCGTCCTGAGCGGTGAGTGTGTGTTCTTGCCGTTGCCTTTGACGTTGTCGTTGTCGTTGTTGTCGTTGTCGTTGTTGTCGTTGTTGTTGTTGTTGTTGTTGTTGCTGTGGTTGTGGTTGATGTTGTTGTTTGTGTCCCGAACATCGTTTCTACTAGTGGACCTGTATTTTGCCCGCTGGCCTCGTCCGCTCTCAACTCTTCTCTTGTTGTTGTTGCTGCTGCTGCTGTTGCTGCTGCTGTTTGTGTCCTGCACCTCGTTTCTAGTGGTCCTGTAGTTTGCCCGCCGGCCTCGTCCGTTCTCAGCTCTTCTCTTGCTTTTACCTTTCGGGCCTTTGAGTTGTACATACGTAGTTGTCGATGTCCTCCCTGCTTTGCTTTGCTTTTCTCGCCTCCGAGCGGTTGGCAACATTTTGGCGCTTTGTTGTCAGCCCGAGTGTGAGACGCAACAAAGCAAAAAGATGGGTGTTTTTTTCCTCGTACGTTCGACACGTTTAGTGTTTTTACGCCTTGCGGCTTGTGCGGTTCCCGTTCCCACCCCTTGCCCGCCCGCTGCAGGCGGTGTCCCGCCCGCCGCCGGCACTCATTCATCCTTGTCCCCCCTCCGCGCTCTCCTGCGGCTGTCTGTCTCTGTCTGTCCTGTCCTATTTGTCAGTGCTGATGGTGGCGTCTCTGCTCAACCTTTTCATGCGCCTGGAGTTCCTGATGAGCATACAGCTCTACGGCGGCCTCGCTGTCTTTTGCGGGTGAGCCAGCCCCGCCAAGTATATATATACCGTTGCACGGGCCCCCGCCCGGTTGCAGAGCGGCACGTGCGACAAGCGAGCGGCCCGTGGTCTATGGCAGATCACGCCTGCTTCACCTGAGCATGCTCATTAGAACCCCCTCCCCCCCCCA